TTTAAATGTACAGAAATAATGCTCTCTCTTGCCTGTGTACAACTGGGAGAAATTTTTTTGTGGTCTCCTGTGGTCAGAGGCAACTACGTCATTTTTAGAATCTGATCAAATGCCACTTTGAAACAAATCAGATTTGTGCCCTCAAGTATTTATTTGTTTGTTTGTTTCAAATTTCTGAATATATGTTCACTTCTCTTTCCATATGACCTAACTTCAGACCTTTTAAAGTTAAATGTTAAGGTCTTTTCTTGCCACACCAGTAGAAAAAGGCACTTCTGGAGAGTCATAAATTTTAGTTTTCTGTTTTACAGTGACACAAAATACTCTCTGGAGATGGGGCTGGGGTCCTCTCTACGCCTGAGTGATAGGCTCAGATTTAGACATTCAGCTCAGGTACACCTACAGTCAGACAGGTGAATCTTAGTTAAAAACCAAAAGGAGATGATTTAGCAAAGCCTGTTGTTTACTGTTAAGGTGCCAAGTTTTGCTTTGAGTGAAAGTGTTTGGGGAATGATTGGAGAAGTTGTTCACCTCTCAGGGCAAAGGGAAGGGAGCCTCAGGTGGGGCGAGCAGGACTTGGCAGTCAACAGCTGCAAATAAGGAGGAAGTCAACATTGTTCTTAAAGTGGCACAGCACCTCTCTCAGTGCAGGCAAGGCCTATTTTCTTTCCTCTTTTTCTACATCTGCAGACACTTTGATAGAGCCCTAAGAAGGAGCAGGGCAGAGTCAGGCATTCCCTGTGGCACAGTTGAGGTCTTGGTGCCTTTGCTTCAGATGCAAAATGCTTTGCAATGCTATGTTAGTTACACCCCTTGTACAGACACAGCAAATTCTCTGTAGCTGTCTGGTTTAAGAACCAGCACAAACTAGACATGATCCTTTTTTCATTTTATGTATTTGATTATAATGATGTAAACAGGAGCCAGTGTATTTTTTTTACAAGAGTGAGTGACCTATTTTCCTATATCATAGGTAGCTTGTTCTGAATACAGTGTAGTTTGGTTAGTTCCCAACCTACAGCTCATAGATGTTTTACCTTCAAAATGTTTCTGATGTTGTGCCACAGTTAAAGGAGATGAAAAAGCCTAGAACTGCCACCAGCACACACCAGTGTGGTGCTGCTTGCAGCAGGTTACTTGCAACAAATACATGGGCCAGTAAAAGTTCAGTCATCCTTTTTTTTATTTTTCTTCTTTTAAGCCTTTCAAAACACAGTGAGGACTTTGCAGCACACCTTTTCTGATTTTAAAGTACTTGATTTATTACTTGCCTTTTCACCACACGGTAACTATTCCCTTGAAAGTAACTCAGTTTATGCTTAAGTGTGAAGAAAAGAGCACAAAAAACCCCTTCTACTAATTATTTTCTTCATCAATTTACAAGTAGGAAATAAATGTATTAGATTAGAAAATATCTGCAGTCTTCATTGCAACATTGTTGCCGTCTATAGTTTGAAATTAGCTTTACATACGTGTGCCATTTTAGAACTCAGATAACCAGCAGTTAAAGCATAGACTATAATAATATTCTGCAGTAAGTGGCAATATTAGCAAAAGGGGAAATGGTGAGAGACCAAGACTTCAGTGGTTTTCTTTAAACTGCTTGTTAGTTGTTCCAGTGGGTCTTCTGGTTCCTGATCACGCTGTCTTTGGAGACTGTGCTAGTTAAGAAACAGACAGAAAAAATCAGTGGTGTGTGGGTGGGAATATTGCATTTGCAAAACCAGAGCTTTTCTTTACTAACATTATATACATATTTCTTGGTTACTCTGACTTCTTTCCCTATCGGGTCTGGTTTTTTTAGAAAACTCGTACTCCTGTATTATCCACATTGCTTTAGTGTAAGAAAAACCAGATATTCCTTGTCTGTAGAGCTCTTCACAGAACTCAGGTTCTTCTCAAGTGCACCAAACATTAGTATGTACATAGCAACCATCAGCACCAGCTCCTTAAAACCAAAGGTATTCACTACTGGATCTGTTTGCTTGCATTAGGTCAGAGAGAGGAACTAACTGGTACATAGAATCTATATCTCTTGCTGGCTTGCTACTCCTTATACTTGCATTTCTTTAGAGAAAGATTTGGAAGGTGAGGGAGAGCAGTGAGACAACCATGAGACTAATGGAGATAAATGCAGACTTTCACTGAATTTTCTCTACAGCAATAAAATAACTTTATGACTGGGAGGGGGAAGGATTCGTACAGTTGTATTGTTAACATCCAGAATTGTGTTTTTCTCACTCTCTTAGCAATGTCAAAAGTATTCTTCAAAGAGTCACACAGTATTTATTATTAAATAGGATGGCAACTGCCATCTGTCACATCAGGCAACATCAGCAAATCAGTTGCTACTTGATGTTAGAAATCATAGTGGGAATGTTATTTTTAGGGAAAATAGCCAGCTTCTCTTGACAATGAGAGAAGCACTCAGTATGGAAGGTATTTATTATGTTTATTTTGAATGCAGCTGTGTAAAGTCGTCAGTTTAGGACCGTTTTAGTTTAGATGGTGAAGAATGAACAGTCATCTGTAGGTGGAAAAAAAGCCAATTTGAGTGAGTTTGGTTACATTGCATTTAGGTATTAATTTTGACATTCAAAAAACTGTCACTCATGCAGGATTGCAGTGGCTGTGAAAAATATTGTTAGAAAGCCAAAATCAGTGGATTCCCTTCTCCTTTCTTTCTCTAGTTTCAATTAATAGATTAGAAAAAAAAAATCTGTAACTTTGCCCTAGAGCAGGATTATCAAGAAATGTTGCAGAACAAAAAATAGACTCACTATAAGATCTATTTCTGTAATTTAATTTCAGATTAAGGCCATGCTTGGAAAGGGTTTACGCAACCCATTTTGGTGTGTATTGAGTGTGTTTAACAGTTAAGAGAAATAGCATAAGAGAAAGTACATTTACTTTTGTGGAGTGTGTTTGTATATATGCTTGTGTGGGTACATGTATATAAATTATACAAAATAGCATGGTTTATACACTGCACATCTTCTGGAGAAGAGAGAATAGTCAGGGAATCCTGTGTTTTGGATAATTTCTCTTTTCCTGCCTTCTGGTCCTTCACCACATTCCAACACAGTCATGATTCATACCAGAAAGTTATCCTTCAGCTAACAAAGGCTAAGCAGCCAACTTCAGCAACTTAATTTAGAGAGATTTTCTCATCTCGTACGACTCTAATTACATGTAAGCCAACAGATCTGGCAAACAAACTCTGGAACAGAGTATTTTCACTCATCTGTCTGAAAACTGTGATAGTAGAAGGGTCAGACTTTGGCCTATTTAGGGGACTGGTTGACAGAGTCCCCTGGGAGCAGTCCTGAAGGGCAAAGGAGCCCAGGGAGGCTGATCATTTTCTTCTTCAGGAAGGAAATCTTAATGGTGCAGGAGCAGGGCATCTCCTTGTGCTAAAAGATGAGTCAGAGAGAAAGGCAATGGGCCTGGCTGAACAGAAACCTTTGGCTGGAACTCAGGAAAAAAATGGGAGTTTATGACCTTCAGAAGAAGGTGTAGGGAACTCGGGAGGACTACAGGGATGTCATGAGGTTATGCAGGTAGAAAATCAGAAGGGCCAAAACTCAGCTAGAATGTAATCTGGCCCCTGCTGTAAAAGCCAATAAAAAGGTTTCTATAAATGTATTAGCAAACAAAGGGCTAAGGAGATTCTCCATTCTTTGTTGGATGGGGGGGGAAACAGTGACAAAGGATGAGGAAAAGGGAGGTACTCCATGTCTTCTTTGTCTCAGTCTTTAATAGTTGTACTCCATGTATCCATCCCCCTGAGTTAGAAGAGGGGGATGGAGAGCAGAGTGAAGGTCCTGTAATCCAAGGGGAAAAGGTCAGTGGCCTGCTACACCACTTATTTACATACAAGTCTGTGGGGCTGGATGGGAGCCACTCAAGGCTAACGATCGTACTTGACACCTGTGAGGCCAAACCTCAAATCCTGTGTTCAGTGTTGGGCCCCTCACTACAAGAAAGACATTGAGCCACTGGATCATGTCCAGAGAAGGGTGATGGAGCTGGACTAGAGTCTGGAGCACAAGTTTTAGGAGTAGTGGATGAAGGAACTGGGTTTGTTTAAAGGGGCCTGAGGCGGAACCTTGACTCTCTCTGTAGCTACCTAAGAGGAGTTTGTAGCCAGGTGGGGGTCAGTCTCTTCTGCCAGGTAACAAGAGACAGGATGAGAGGAAATGGCCTCAAGTTGTGCCAGGGGAGGTTTAGATTGGATATTAGGAAAAATTTCTTCACAATAGGGTTTGTCAAGCATTGGAACAGGATGCCTAGGGAAGCGGTGGAATCATCATCCCTGGGTGTATTTAAAAGATGTAGATGTGGAATTCAGGGATATGCTTTAGTGGTAGACTTGGCAGTGCTGTGTTAGCTCAACAGTCTTGTTGTACTTAACAATCTTAAAGGTCTTTTCCAACCTAAATGGTTCTATGAAAAAAAAAATGTATAAAAATGGTCATTTGTACACGTGTGAAAGATTTGTGGACAAAAAGATACAACTGAGAGGCTTATTTCCTTATGAGCAAAAGCCACAAGGCTTTGGATCCCTTTCCCATCCCTCCAGTTTGCCTACAGCAAACTGGAGAATATAGAGAATAAACCTAGAAGAGAAATTGCAGCAAATACACCTGGAAAGATCCTTTAGGTAAAGTTTGTCCATTCTGTCACTAGGAAGCAGTTAGTTAAATTTTAGCTCTTGAATAATACTACAGAAAGGAAAAAAAACCCACACAATTTATTTGCATTTATAAATTGCATTGAATTTTAGAAATAGTTGAAAAAATAATATGCACCAAGTATCTTTTCTCCACTCTCTTTTTTAAGTTAATTCTAGGCAGGTAGACTAAGCATTGCAAGCATTCAGGTTCTGGTAAGAGTGCTCAAAGAATCATATTTCATCTTTCATAATTTCCCCTGGCTTGTGTTTGGCATGGAATTTTGTTTTCATTTAATGATTTCCCTGTTCCTTTCATTTCCATCAGGAGAGAGAAACAGAAGAAGGAGATGTCAGGTGGCTTTCAGTTATATGCCTCAAAATGAAGATGAACTGGAATTAAAAGTTGGCGACATCATTGAAGTTGTGGGAGAGGTGAGCACATCCTTAGTTGACTATACACACATGCAGTACTGACATATCTTGTGCATGCTAAACTCTTCAATACAGTCTGTTTTAAGACATAATTTAAACCAGACATTTTTCTGGTATACTGACCTTTCTGGTATGGATTGCTGTTGGGCATGAGGGGATGTTGCTGGTTTTTTTATGGATTTTGTAACTTTTTCCCTATAGCACTTTTGCCGGTTCTTCTCAATCAGTTGGTGTTTCAGAGTTCTGTTCAGGGAAAGAGCTCTAAGTTTGTTCTACAGAGCTCTTGAATTTATATCTCTGAGGAACCAAAGATTATATCAGAAGAAGCTTTTCACAGTTTTAGTAAGCCAGTCACAGGGAAAATTACGTTTGCGAAGTTAAACAAATTTAAGAAATTTACTTGAATCTCCACTGGAGTTCACCATTTGTCATCTTTGCCATCAAACTTTAAGAATTTCATTTTAGTCTAATCAGTTTAAAAAAAACCCTAAAATCAAGCAAAAAAACCCCCAACAAAACATTTGAGACTTGAGATTCATTTATTTTGGGTGCAGATAGATGTGGAAAATTAATACACATCCCTTAGATGGACTGGGGACAACCTACAAAAGCTTGGACAGAGATACAGAAATTTTCTTTGTGTGAGTAAATCTGGGTGCAGTATCAAGGAATGATGTTCACTCCCAATACCTTCAGTGTTCCATTAGAGATTTTACAAATATCTTCTTGAGTTTAATAGCAAGAAGAACCAAAGTCAAAATTATAACGTGCATTCTTTAACTAGAATGTATTCAGACTCATTTATTCTTTATTTACTTAGCTTTAAAAAGACCTTAGTCTGCTCAAGCAGCCAATAAAAGGTGTGTTTCAGCTTGTATCATTTATTTGTAAGATTTTTTCTCCCCTGTGACTCAGCAGTTAGGACGTTAACATTAATTTACTTCTTCCTACATCTGTCACTTAAAAAATCAGTTCTAAAAGAATATAAATTCTACTGCAACCTACATGACATCCAGCATTTTCTTATGAGAGATTAAATTCTCACTTCTGAATGTAAGAAGCTTAGTGATCACTGGTTTTGCTTTAACCTGGCTGTGCATGCCAGCTCTGCACATCATTCTTCCTGGAATCAGACATGATGCGCCACTTAAATAACCTTATTCTGTCTGTGAACAGTTTTGTAATGGGGGAATTCAAGGTTGTAAGATATTTAAGAGCATATTTTGAAGACAATGTAAACTTGATATTATAACGAGTTTCACGGCATCACATAAGCTGTTTTCATTGGGCACTTTGAGGTAAATTTGACCTCACATGGCCACAGAAATATTACTTAAAATTTTTAAGTCTGTGTCTTTCCAGAGTAAATTGATGGAGTGAAACCCTTTCCTAGTATCCAGCCAACAAACTAACCCTACCAAATGAATAAGTAATTACTGAGTAATTAAATAATTTAGATGAGACACGAGGCTTCTCTTACAAAATGCATTTCTTGTCTTTTTATAAATTTGAGCAACTTAATTATAAATAACAGATTTATTTATATCCAAATGAGACTGAAATAGTTTACATTAAAATTGAAAAATGTAGAACTATAAAAGTGAAACATTCCATGTACTTGCATATGTGTGCTTATAGTTAAGGGCATGCTTTTTGTAACCCACTTGGATTGCTGATTACAGACTTCCTAGTCTTAAATTTGTACCCTGAATTGCTACTGTTGAGGAAAACATTGACAACTTTCTTATTTTAAGGTTTAAGAAAATATATTGTCTAGGGCTGCTTTTTTGATTGGCAGATATAAAGAATGTCATGATGGAATTAGTTTTACTGTAGTGTGGAACAGGACTGCTCATGGATAGCTTGAACTGCTGGTCATAAGTAAATGCCGAAGAACAGCTGACATAGGTGAGGCTGTGCCCACTTTGACCTTATAAAATACCCTGTTCTGTCAGCTACTGAAGCAGAAGGTCAGCTTCAGGCTTCATCTAGTGCATTCATGCGTTGTAGAGCATTGTCCAACTTCTGGGTGGAACTAGATCAGCTGGTGGAAGAGGGAAAATAGGAATCTAGAGAAAAAATTCTCAGTCCCTCGGGAAATGTTATTGTGGGGCCTTTATTTTCCATCATGGTTGATACCAAGCAGTTGATGTCAAATACTTATTGTTATTACTTCCTCTTCTGCTCTTATTATAGTAGTGCTAATTCCTCGAAAAAGTAGGGCAGAGTATTTATTTTGAAACAGGAACTTTATTTGATGCAAGAAGTTGCACCAACCAATGTGCTGATTTCACTTTTTACCCTTCTGCTTTTAGATAATGCTGCATAAAGTCATTGAAATAGCATTCACAGTGTTAATGTCATTATACAATTAAAAAATATGGCTTCCTCACTTGTGAAAATTGAGGTGTTTTGTTTTGGTTTTTTGCAAGGGCCAAAATCATGCTGTGTTATTGTACAAAAAAAATATAAAACCACAGCAAAAAACCCTCCCACATAGGTAACAATTGGAGACAATTCTTGTAAAATACCAGTTTGGTTTATTATTACTCAAGACTGAAAACTGGAGGACATCTTCAGCATTATTTACAGTGGTTCAGTGTGTAATTGGAACATAAATGGTCATTTACTTTCCATTTCCAGTTGTTCCTTTCTCTTACCCCATCTTTTTATTCATGAGTAGGTCTCAGATTCCCATAGATAGTATTTTATTGTCTCCTTCTAAGAAAGTTGCATCAGTTGAATTAATTAGTTTTAAATTGACTTTGATTAATATTTTCAAATCTCTATGGATTTCTGCTTAGTTGAAAATAAATCGATTCCTAACTGACTTATGGCAAACTGAACCTGGTATTGCTTAGGTCAGACACTGTCTATGTATCTTTATGTGGCTATTGAGGAAAAAAAGTCTTAAAATGTTGCTTGTGATTGACAACATTAAACTTTTGCTGTTGCAAAGAAAAGTTAATTGAGCTTTATCCTTAAAGAAGTGTGTTCTGCTCTTCCTCAAACCCGTTCAAGTTCACTGCCTCCAGCACAGGGTTGACAGAAGGGAACACAAGTGTCAGCTGCCTCCATCAGTGTCCAAGTGTGTTTCCCCAGACTCCCAGTGAAAACAGGTTACACTGACATCACACAGTGATGTGCTGAGGATGAGGATGTCTTCCCTTCTCCAACCTCTGCTTCAGAGTGTAGAGGTGTAGTAGCATCTAAAGCTGCCCAGATCCTTCTTCCTGGTGCCAACAGATTGGATGTGATACTTTTGAAAGGGTTTTTATGTCTGTAGTAGTGGTAGATAAAATTGGAAATTCCTCCTGTGATAAAAGTGGTTTGGGGCTGTAGAGTGGATTGAAACAGTAGCAAGTGTGAGTTGTTGCCAGATGAATGTCCTTGGAGGCTGTATGTGTTAAGAATTAGCAGTTCCTTTCTATTTGTCCTAAATAGTTGGAAATTAATTATGTTAAGATCAAACATTCAACACAATAGATAAAATGCTTGTTGTTAAAATAGAGGTTTCCATAACTACAGAGACCCTGATGCCCATGAGACATTAATTAACAGACTTAAATTAAAAGTACATTTAAAACTTAACAAGAAAAGCATTTTCATCATTGTTTATGTTCACGTTTATTATGTGATTGATAGCTTTTTGCTTGTCATTTTCCTACCTCATTAGCTATAACTCTAATTAAAGTTGTCCCAAAATACAACTGTAACTAATTGTCTTATTAAATGCAGATATCTGAATTCCAATTATGTTTCACCCTTAGACTTTCATGGGATGCCAGATAATTAACCTGCAGCATCAGAGTAAGGACATTTGGCATGTCATTCAGCAGCTCTGAGCCTGCTTTCATTTGGGATTAGTGTGTCGTTGTGCTGCTGTATACCTTTTGGCCTCATCCTGCTGAGAAGTCAGCTTTTTGGCAATGGGTAGTGCATGAAGTTAAGCTCACAAGTCTGTGACTGAGACATTCTGTAATACCATTGAGCTTATTCTTTGACTTTTAGGTAACACTACGATATATTACATGATCAAATCCTATCAGTAGCTCATTTGAAATTATAAAAATACAGACTGAATTTTTACAAATCGGTTGCTTCTTATGGGCAAGATTGGTGGATACGTTTTTTTGTTCTTATTGTGAGATAAAGTGGTGCAACACATGTCCAAGAACAGGATAAACTGGGGTTTGAGCTGGACTCTTCTTACAGTGACCTACTTTGGCAGCTATAGAGTTGAAAGGGGAATGAATATTTAACCGTAGCAAGGGGATGGTCTGTGCCACAATTGCAGAACTATATAATATGCAAGAAAACAACTGGGAATGAATGCTGGGGTTTCACATCTCTCAGTTACTTTTCTGTGGAATGCTGTGGTAAAGTGTTTTTCTGGATCCTTTTCTAACAGGTTGTTCACAAGGACTCAGGGACTACTTGTTTGATTAGTTCATGTGGTAGGAGGCCTTTTTTGGGGGAAATGAGGGTGCAAATACTGCTGAGTCTGTATAGGGACAGGGTCATCCCAATTCTGTGTGATTGCTTTCACTGCTCTTTAGTGTCTTTTTTAGAAGAGGATGTTAAAAAACTTAACAAAACCATGAATGACAAAAGCAAACAAAGAAAAATTCCCCAAGCACATTTTGACATTGTAAAATAAAGAACTCCGAAGCTGAAAAGATTCCCCAATACAAGGTACTTGTGCAGTTTTTAATTCTTACCTTCTGCACCCGAGTTATCAAACAGTTTCCAAATGTGCTGTAGCAGAGTCCCAAGGGATGGTTGGTGCCTCATGGGTACAGCTCCTCTGAATGCACTCCCAGAATAAGCCATCAAGTGGCACTGTAGGCACCATCTTCTGTTCAGGTCTTGTGTCCAAAATTTATTTTCCCATTGGCAGCAAATGTGATTTTTTTTATTTTGCCTCTTGGGAATCTATGTTTTTAATTTCCTTTCAACATATGATTGCTTTTGTCCTTTAAACTCATGATTTTCCGTTAGAATTTATAAACTAAGGGACCTTTTTCCTTTGCTTTCTGTGCTTTAGTTCTCTCAAAGCAAAAGAAAATTTGTTGACCTTGGGCTTCTCTCCTTCCTGTTGCCTGCCTCTGGCATTGCTTTTGTTCCTGGGACTATGTTTTGGTTTTAACAGTCCAGAAAAACTTTGTTAGGGTCCAGGGAGACTTTCTTCCATCTGAAACCTTTCCTGACTCAGAGCCTCCCTCATCTGCCCTGGCTAAGCTGTAAGTAGTCTGTCAGCCCAATAGGCAAAGCTGCAGGTTTTAGAAAATCTTGTGGAATGAGCCAATACAGGAATTTATTGGAAATACACTTTAGGTCAGTGATTCCAAGGTGCTGAACATTTTAATCATTTAACAACTTTAGCCTATTAATTATATAGCAAGGTGTAAGCAAGCAGCTGGGGCAGTCTTAGACATTCTGGCAAGCAGCTGCTGGTAGTTGGCCTCAGCATTTCCTGCTGGTTTGGGATATCCTGTCGTGGAGTTACAGGGGTGGCCCCCCGGTTCTCTCAGGAGAAGGTGCTTCTAAGGCTTGTAGCAGCAAAGGTTTGTTGCACTACAAGTCAGGATGACCTTTCTTTCTTTGAAGGGGGATGTTGCAGATTGTATTGGCAGTGAAGGGAAAACCTTCACATAAAATGTAAAGTGTCTTCACTTTTGGATTATCTTAATCTTGTCGTCCTAGTGACCTACTAAAGTGATTTTGTTTTCTTTGGTTGCTTTACAGTTACAGAATAAAACCATATTCCTGGTCTGAAATAGAATTATTATATTTGCTTGAAGGCTTGAAATGCTATCCTTTTTATTTTTTTTACTTTAAGCATGGAAATAGGCTGATTTCAATAAATTTTTGTTATTTTCTAAGCAGCTTAGTGTCCTAGCCTCTGTATATCCTTAGGAGAACTTCGTGTTTGTGTGCCTGAATGCCTCACTCATATAATTCTCTGGTATTTTCCTGTCTGTCCACTTCCATGGTATCTAATTTGAGTACTTGATTTATTATTTCTTATTTATATTATTACTTTTAAGTAAAATTAACTATTACAGCCTTGTACTGTCTTTGTAGTCTGGGTTGTTATTGTGTGCTGGGATCTCACAATTTGATTAAACATTTACTTTCTCATGAAGTAAAACAGTATATTTCAAATTATTTTCATCTATATTTGGTTTATAGTTTACAAAAAAGCTCATTTACATTAAAAAAGGCTCTAGTGGTTGAGTAATTAAATTACAACAAAAGCACAATAATCTTTCCTCATTGAAAATTTAAAACAACTAAAGCCCAACGATACTGGAAGAACATTTGAATGTCGCATAATTATTATATAGATTAAATCCCAAAGTCCAGGCTTCTTAATGGGATGAATTTCTCTACAGCTGATGAACCACTCTCTGGTGACATTGTTCATTTCTATCTCGTTCAGTCACATCCAAGTGTTAGATTGCATATTGCATCTGTCCCTGCCCCATGCATGGCATTGACTGAGTTGCAGTTGAGTGCATGTTGTTGTTACCTCCTAAATATACAAAGTAATGAAGTATCTTCAGTCATATTCCTATATGTGGTGTGACAGTACTGGCAGCCTACGGGCTTGGCAAGATGAGGATGAGCCACGCCTCTCCAAAAGGCAGTGAACAGATAAAACACACTGAAAACACATCTTAAAAATATCTCTAGATGTATCTGCTTACATTTGGCAGATTGGAAAGATCCTTCTTATGAATTAAAAAAAAACCACTTCATTTGCAGGCTGATCTTACAGTTGGTGTGTAGAATATTATGAATCATAGAACTTCTTATCCAGCATAGGGACATGGACTGCTGAATGAAATCCTTCTCTTTTTAGATTGTTTGGTTCAGCACCTGAATGCTGGGCATAAATCAGGACCTAGATGTATAAATTCTGAAAGCACTTTGTTATAATAGCATGGCAACAAATTTTATTGAGCTCGTGCCTCCAGACGGATTACCCCCATGAATAATGGATTTTCATTTAAAAGGCTTTATTGGCTGTGAATTATTGCAACTTTTCAAACCATATGGTAATGGACTGCCCCAGTTTGGGATAACTAAATCCTAGAGGCATTTTAGTGTTTTCTGTTGCATGGATTTATCTCTAACTGCTGTTTTGAGGCTTAAAGTTATGTAGCAGGTAGCTATAGTGTTTAAAAATACCTAAAGCTTTTGATGCTTTTGGTGAAAATTTCCTACTAAATCTTTGGGAGGCGCAGTTTGACCTGAACCTCTGATATCTTGCTAACATGATTCTGCATTTTCTTGTGGAAAAAAATCTAGGTTTGGCTTTGGATTTTTTTCTGAAGTTGTAGAATTATTGAATACAACATGGTATTATCAGGCAATTAATTTTTCAGTCAAATGGAAAACTTACAATATGATAATGAATGCTGTGAGTATATTCACATCCAGTTTAGATTTACCTGTCTAAAGATCTTTGTATATATGTATATTTCTATACACATATATAGGGATCCATACATCAACATGCCACATGAAAAGTGCTAATGTGAACTGTAAGGAAACTGTGAAGTGTTACCCTGGAAGAAGTAAGCAGGTGAAAATCACTTGAGGAAAAGATGAAACTGGATTATATTGGTCACATTACTTGTGTCAAATAATCTCAGCATCTTGCAAAGCAAGGATCTTGGGAACTGTGTAAATCCTCTGATTAATCTACTGGTCAATCAGCTAATGCAGTTATGGTTTGATGTTTAGCTCTACTCAATATGGCCATCTGGGAATACTGCATTAGAAAAATGGAAATATTTTATTGCTGAAAGACTCTTGGCCATATTGTCTATTTTCTGTATACCAAGATATCATATTTTTATGGGTATATAGTATTTATATAATATTTTATTTAGATATATAATTTGTACATATATATGTGTAGATATATAATTTATCTACTAAGTGTTGTGTGTCGTGCAGTTTCAGTTTTCCATATTGTTTATTATTGGTCTGGAGAGAAGAAAGGGAATATTACTTTTTAGAGACTTTGATACTATAATGTGAAAAATCTCCACCTCACTGAAGTGATTGAGTGATATATATGTATTCTGTCTTCTGAATTTACAACAAGATAATAAGAAGTGCAAGATAACTCCCAGAGTTATGCTGGAGCTCATCATGATTACTGATGAGCTGAGGGGGGGGCAGTGGAGGGAGGGCAAATTTTGTCAGGGACAGGTACTGAGATTAAATGAAAGTCTGATCTGAACTCCTTTCAAATTAAAACAAAAATTCAACTCAAGACAACAAGAAATGTGGGGGTTTGTAGTGAAATTGTATGTGTGACTAAGTTGAAAGAAATGCATACATTCCTCCATATTTTTGGGAAATATTTGGTTGTATTATTAAGAGATTTCTAAGAACTCGAGTTTTTCACAGATAGGGGATAGGAAATGGACTTTTTTTCTGTAGTAATTAACTAGTTTCATTTAAAATGTGGAGTTCTTTTTTTTAACAGTAAACATGAACACCCTCAGCCTTTCTATTTCAGTTGACTTTCTATTTTCATAATTGTGGGGGGAAGGTAGGCAGGAAAGAGATGTGTCAAACTTTATTGGAGGCTGATGTGTCACAGATTGACACTGTCCTCCCCTGTCATCTTTTTTGGTGAAAGGACAGTGTCTGACAGATGAAAAATATTTCCCTATCAAGGATGTGTTTAGCTGATGCATGTAATAAGTCGTTTCTTGCTGTCCCATTATAACCTAAAGGCATCTGCTTTCTGAGGGCTGTCATTTCACTGCCTGACACTGCCGTTCAATGCTGAATGGGTTATACAGGAGGGAGTTTGTAATTTTAAAGTGATATTTTCCTCTTGGGATTTGGCTAGGCAGTGTCCCTCCTCCTTCTCACACCATCATTATGTATATCAGTACTTCTTTGTAAATCTAGAGTCAAATATTCATTAGCACTGTTCTTTGTTCTCCACAGATTTCTTACATTAACAGATTAATGAAGTAGCAACATTCTTAATTTTTACAACACAGAACTTCAGATTTTGATGGAGAAGGCAGGAATATTCACATTATTTAAGATACCTAGTTTAGATTCTCTGAGTAGCTTTTCATGGATATTTCTCTTTCACCTTTGATTACTTAGGGAATTCAAACTCAGAATCTGCAAAACACGTCCATTAAGATTGTCTTGAATAGTCATACAGTTTGCACGGAAAATTTAGTGATTGAATGGACAGCCATAAAAATCGAAATGTAGAGTCACTGTATGCTCTCTAGTTGTTCTTTTATCCTTTTATTTAATGCTCATCCATACTTCTGACTGCTGTCAGCACTGATGACATTTACAGATGGGCTCATGCATCTTTCTTGTTTTCACTTATCAAAAAAAAAGAGAGATGTTCTGGCTTAGAGCCTATGCCATGTGCTCCTCATACCTGAAATTAATATAAACTGTTCAGAGTCATTACTGTAATTTATTGAATGTATATAAGGTAACTTAGCAAAGTGTTGCTTATATTAAACCCCCTTTTTTTTATTTTTGTCTTGGTGCAGGTGGAAGAGGGCTGGTGGGAAGGAATACTCAATGGAAAGACTGGCATGTTTCCTTCCAACTTCATAAAGGAACTGTCTGATTCTGATGATGTTGGAATAGCACAAGAAGAGCAAGTAAAGTCAAGTAAGGAAAAAATTATTATTGATGTTCTGTATGTATGCCTGTGTCTTTACCCCATAACACCTTGATAGGATAGCACATTCTTATCTCTTGCTTGGAAGTGTTTTTGAATGCCATTGTTCTTAATTTATGCTGAAAGGGTCAGATGATGATGATAAGTGTGTACTTGCAGAGCTACCTGAGTTGCAATATTGCCAATGCTCCCTGAGCTGTGTTAAAGACCTGCTGAGCCTCAACAGATCAAAAAAAGAGAAGGCAATGATGAATATTGAATTTGTATTTCAGAACTAATTAAAAGGGACTTTAGACATGGAAAGTAACCAAACATCTACAAAGTGGCTGTGCTTATTTAAGCGAGGGATTAAAGTGCCATGCCTTCTATAATGACTCCAGTAGATTTAAGGATTCATAATTATTGGTGTGGGACATGCGGCACTTTTTCCCTCCAGGTGCTGAGCATGTTACTATCACCTCCGACACCCACTGCCCCAGCAGCCAAGGGGAAAAAGGCCAGAACTGGGACATGGACTTTGTTCTCTCATTTACAGTGGGCCAGTACTGCTGCAGGTGAAAAGCATGTTTGGTAACTAAGTTTGCAATAGTATAAGCATGGTAGTGGGTTGTCCTATTTATAACTTCCCTTGGAGAATAACCTGAGCCAAAAGTGTGCTGTTATATGAAATGGAAAGTTGTTATTCTTCATGGTTTTTTATGTTCTTTAAGCAGATACTCTTTTTGTTTCCTAATTCAGTGGTCGATTCTGAATCTTTAGTGAAAAAGTCGATTGTATTTGCATATTTCAGGCTAATTACACAATACTTGCCAAGCTCTTCCTATTTTCAGCACATATCCATTGCTATGTAGTGTTCTTCTGAGATCTCTGAACAAGCAAAAGTCAAAGAACTGTCAACATCTTTGTAAGCTTATCTCACCTGAAATTTACCAAAGCCTTTATAGTTCATGCTGTCCGTAAGAGGTAGAAAATTATAATACTTCCTTCTTTTTCCTCATTTTTCCAGTTAAGGCAAATGTATTGTCTTTATTTCATGCCAAAGAAATAAGATTCTAAAAAACCTGACTTTTGCATTGATGAAAAATTTTTATATTGTTTTTGTAATGGAGCACCTTTTCGTGTGTGAATGGGCACTGGTGACCCAGTCTTGTGGTCAGTCCTGCTAAAGATATTTACATGTAACATTCCTTCAAACTGGAATGAAAATGTTTCTAAGTTAAAAATTTTAATGTGATAGGAAAAAAGGGCATTAAGTGAAGATGCACTTTTCAGTGAGATTGCAAACTCCTTTCTATAACCTGTATATGCTATCATGAATTATGTTCATTATAAATACAGTGAGTCTTGAAGAACTAATTGTGTAGATGTAGTTCCAGCTCTGGAGTCTGTAGTGTTTGGTACTAAATAAATGAACAAAGTAGGTGATACTGTTCAGGAAGGAATACCCCAGTTTTATCTACATGAATGAATGAATGTTCCATTATAAAGTAATATTTACTTTATAATAAGCATCTCTAAAGTGGCTTTTAACAAAACATACATTGGAGTGTGCCAGAGCAGCCACAAAGCGTTAGCTATTGATGTCCATTATGGCACATGCTTTGTTCAAACTCAGCTTTGTGTGCTGGTTCCAACTGTCAGTGGAATCCAAAGCTGTGATACTTGTATGGAGAAGATAGCAGTAACACAGATATCAGTTTTGTCTCTTTAAATAACCTGAAGGTAACTACAGTTGAGAGATGGATTTTCGTCTTTCTTGTATTTAATTTAATTCTTTGGAGGTGCTTTATGGGTAAGTAAGATGATGTGTTATTAGGAGCTATTAGATACACCTATAAAACAGAAGAACACTGTAAACCTCCTGAAAGAGAGACTGGGACTCTTGGAATTTTGAGATTATTATGGGGATTTTAATGCTTTTTTACTTATTTTTCTTCAAGTAAAACCACAGATTTAATAATTACATTCCCTTAGAAGAATTATGGGAACTATGCATCAACTCAGTTCTTTCTGTATGGTTTATGTAATTGATACAGGTGTTGCTCTCTACCACATGGTGCTTCATGAGGCTCAGTTCAGATACACTGACTATCTGGATTTGAAAATCTCCATAATGAGATTGCAAAAATTTCAGTGAGTTTATGCAACTGACTAGGAATGATAATCTCATTCCAAGTATCTCTGAAAACATGGTAAAATAAAAAATGAACAAGTAAACCCTGAAAGATTTGAGCATCGGGTTAGTATTACTGTCGAAATGCTCTGGGTAACATCTCAAAAGGGTGTATCTTCATGCCTCTAGATTGTCTCCTTCCTCCATGGATCACAAGACATGACAGCACTTGAAATCTGCAATAACTCCTTTTTGTTTCTCTGGAAACTTTGTTTGAATACATCTGTATCACAGGATTTGAACAGAAATTCTAGATTATGGCACTCAGGTGCGAGGGGCTATACCAACACATTGAACAAGAACCTTGGGCAGTCACTGAGGTTCTGCACAGAAATGTGGAAGAGAAAAAATATATAACTTGGCTTTTTAGGAATAAGGTTAATAAAAACACATTTTTCTCTGCCCTTCTGTTACAATCTACACCAGGCCAAATGGGGAGAATGTTGTTTGATTTTATTGATCTTGTTGTGTTCATGTAAATTTTATGGCAGATCAGAGTAAATGGCTAGAAGAAATTATCTTGGTTTCTTTTCATGCTCTGCCATAGAGTAACCTCAGAAGTTTCTTCAGAGCAAAGATTTCCTATTTTGAAAATGCCTGAGGCTAATTTGGAAGTTCCCAAATATTTCTGAATCCTGACAGTGGGACTTAACTTTCCCCTTAACTTGGAAGGACTGGGAACCTGTGCCTTCCCTCAGATAGTGAGTGCTCAGCAGATTGGAAAGCAAGACTGTTACAAGATCCAAATATTTGAAGGTTGGCTTGTTTGATTTTAAAGTATTTATCCCAGCTGTAAAGTGACTGCCAAATTTTTTGTCTTCAAAGGCATGTTTTGTGATGGACATGATCAGGTACTCTTAGAGTAAACAGCAGTTCCTTGTTTTTTAAAGCATACTCTTAAATTAAAACATTGCTTTTCTTTGACCAACAGTTACAGCATGAACAGAAGTATACATTATAATTTTATTCCTATATTAAATAGATACATGAATGATAAGATTAATGTCTAGATTTCTCAGAGATCTAGTATTAATTTTAAGACTATTTTCAATACCATTTCTTGTCATTGCAGCCTGTCGAGAAGCAACAAAATGACATGTGGTCAAATAAATTCTATTTGAGATAATAACAATTAATTATTAAGGAGGTTATTTCGAAAAGCATTTTGCATGTTCATGACAATGTCACGACAGCATTTAAAGGTGGCCTTTTATATCTTGCTGTCTCTTGTATGTGTTTGTTCAGGTACAGCCAGGCCTCATGGTACATATCAGCTAATTTTAGAACCTGTTAGTGATGGCCACTGAGAAGAGTTAGAACTGATGACAGACTCATCAGCTGATGCTTTAGTCAGACAACCTCCTCTATCCTGAGTTCTTAAAACTTTAGATTTCCATTATTGTCTCTTTGGCTCTCCACAGTGTCATGAAACTTAACATACATTTCTCTAAGCAATGGGTTGATTGTTGTTTGACTGTTTTAATAATATTCTTTTAATGATATCTTGTAAAAACAAAGTGAAAAGATGGATTTGTGGCTTTTTTATTTCATTTACTTTCATCATGTAAAAATGAAAACCTTTCGTTATTAATTAAACTGCAAGAACAAAACAAAGGAACAGCTTTTTATAATACATAAATGAGTATAGCTTTTTATTTTGTGAAAGTCCAACAGAATGATATAGAGGAGAAAAAAAAATACACATTTTTGGTATCAAAATGGATGTGATTCTATCTTGGGACAATTCCCATATACTGGCTATTTTGCAATAAAATTTTACTGAAGACGTTAATTTTCTTGCTGGTAATGTAGGGGAGATTGGCAACAAGCTGGCATTGGTATCATTTTGGGCTTTGCCTGGGTACCTCGTCTTTAAAAAAAACCCAACACACAAAATATCTCAGCTGCTTATTCCTTTACCTTCACTTGAATTTTGTTTTCTAAATATCAGAACATGAGTTATCTCAGTAGCAATGAAAAAAAAAACCAAAACTCACCCAATAAGAAATTAATAGTTTTTGTTTTAAAAATGTTGTTAAATATATAAGATGGGAAGTGGGATTTATTTTTTGTTGTTTTGCTGTTTTCTCTTTAAATTTTAGTATTTTATTATTTTTGTTAATGTGTGCCAAGTCAAGCACCTGATTAAGCTGTTGGTGAAAAACTGATTTATTCGGGTTTTAGCGTCCTATCCCTTTCAGTAGGCATTGCTTAAGACCATGTACAAAAACTGTTCTCCCATCTACAAAATATTTTTAATAAGTCATCTTGGAAAGACTCAGTATTTCTGATGCTCACAGCATCCTGGTACACTAGAGAAATGTGAGTATTTCATTGCCCTGTTTGGATGTCAGCTGTGCTTGTTCAAGTGCAGTGCATCTGCATCAGGAATGTTGAGCCACTGTGAGTACATCATTGCAGTGCAGTAATGATATTTTTTCAGGATTCCCCTGTGCTCTTTGAGGAGACTGCATAAAACAGACAAATAATTTTGTTTGCAAGGCTCACAACTTGATGGACAACAGACAAAACCTAAGAAAAATGCATTCTGTTGGACACTGTAAAGAACAGCTTTAGCAAAATCATGAGATTATTTTATCTGACATACATGCAGTAAGAATATTTTAACTTCATGTACAATCAGATACTTTTGTTAATATTCTCGTTGTTTTGCTAATGAGGCTTTAAAAATGTTAGTGACTGAAAATACAGATTAAAACGTCTTCCTTTCCCTTCTTTTTACCACCATTCGATCTCCTTACCCCCACCCTGCCCCTTCTCTTTTTTTTCCCGTCTTTCCTTCTCTTGCCTGCTGTC